CTAAGAGGATGCAATATCTACTTCCTAGATGTCCTCATGTATTTTCTTGGTTTAATAAGCATTCTACTATCCTAAAAGGTCATATACTCAACTAATATAAATAGTAGTTCGACCACCAAGCTATAATGTGAAATATTGCTTTTTTTTCTTTTAATACTTTTGTTTTTAGTGCTCTATAATATTTATAGGTTTTAACAATCTGGTAATTATATTAGGGTGATTTTGTATAAAATCAATACAAAGTTACCATATTAATAATAGATCAATAATATTTGTGTTATTTATAAATAGGTCAATCATGTATTGTGACACTTAAATACATTTGAAATAAACAAAAAATTACATAATCTGCCACTATAGCTGACACCTACTTCAATTGACACCCCCCTTTCTCATATATTTTACACTTGGATTCAGACGATGCATTGCAATGTCCATTTTCTGGTTCCTTTTTTTCATCTCTCACATGCATCCATTTCCTGGTTCCTTTTTTTTCATCACTTGATTCAGACGGTGCATTGTAGTGTCCATTCTTCGCATGACTATTTCTTTTTACATTTGGATTTAGACACTGCAAAGCAGTGTCCGTTTCCCAATTCTTTTTTTTTTCTTTTTTTTTTTTTTACATTGTGATTCATAAACTACAATGCTGTGTCGGTTTCCTAGTTCTTTTTTTTTCTTTTTTATATTTTGATTTAGACATTGCGATGTAGTGTCCATTTCCTGGTTCTATTTTACATGTTTATTCAGACGCTGCATTGCAATGTCCATTTCCTGGTTCTCTTATTCCCATCATCGTTTCCACATTTCGTGGAGTCTCTCTCGACCCATAAAATTAGTTCTTAAAAAAATAAAATAAAAACCGTCAAAACCCAAAAGAAGAAAGAACCCATCAAATTAATCAAAACACAAAAAGATTTCAAACTCAAAAGAAGAAGACATCAAAAACCAAAAAACTCATCCCCCGTAGACCCTCATCACGGTTTTACCTGTTTTGGGCTCAACGAGAAGGCCTTGGCGGTGAAAGATGGCGGCAACGAGGCGCATGTGTTGAAATCAGAGATTTTTTGGTCTGATTTTTTGTTCTTTTTTCTCCTGCAGGTGGTTGCGGTGGTGTGGCGTCGTTGATGAGTCTCACCAAGAACAAGTTGCTGTATTGGGAATGAAAGAAGGCTGAGAGAAATCAACGTGGTGTCCTGGTGGGAGAAGACAGAGCGCACGTGGACGGCTTGATGAAAAATTTGACAGATCTAGTTGGCAGTTGGTCATGGGGTGGAGGAGAATGGTCTGGCAGCATGTAATCACAATTTTAGGGACCACTTCTATTGATTCCAAATCTCAGAGACCAAAGTGATGTGTTATGCAAATCTCAGGTACCATTTTGGCTGAAAAGCCTTTTTAAAAAACATGAGAGAGAATGAAAGAAGGGTAAAATTCTAACTCTTAATAATGCCTTAATGCCCATGTAGCATTTATCATTGATTTATACCTAATTAGTAAAAATATATCATTAATTAAGTCCAGAAAAGCAGGTGGGAGATGTATCTCAACGGCAGACTCAAATAAACCAAATCAAAGTGGACCAACAAAAAAGTAGGTGGGAGAAGTAAATAGAGGGGAGGGCTTAAATGGTCCTCCAAGGTCATTGTCCTCAACATGAATGTATACTAGGTTTTAGAAAACAGTACATACACATTATGCATTTTAAGTGGAAAAACCAAATATCTTTCATACAACAATATTTTTTATACCATTGAGCTAGAGAAGAGATCCTCTTCGGATCTCTTCCACTGTGGTCACTGGATCAAGTGATCCGGACCTTTGAAATTTCATCTAATGGTCAAAAATTATTATAGTTTTTAAGGGGTCAAAACAAGTGGGCCATTGGATGAAATTTCAAAGGCTCGGATCACTTGATCCGGTGACCTTGGTTGAAAAGATCTAGAGAGGATCTCTTCTCATTGAGTTAAGCTACACAAAAATTATAATAATAATTTAATATCAAACTCGTTATTTATTAAATCAAAGTTGATAGGATAACAACATAAACATCTTGTAATATGTCAAGACAAACTTTATGTTATCATTAATTGTTCAAAACAAACTTGGTATTTGGATAAAAATAATAATCTTTAAATTAATATATCAACCAACTCTAAAAGAATTTAGAAATTTCATGTGTAAAAAAACTGGAGATTTGGAGATCATGAGCTCAAACTTCAATTTCATATATATAGTTATCATTTTTAAATTTTTAGAAGAGTGAGAATTTTAAGAGAACCAAAAAATAAACCCTGACCCCTACGTATATAGGCTAATCAATATTTTCAAATCGAATCATTTGTATTAAAGATGGTTTTAAATGGCGATAAACGGAAATGGCCCATGTTAGCTCATGATAATATAATGCTTGTTTGAGGGGAACAAGAACTTTCCTCTTTACTAGGAACGAGAGAAATATTATTCTTTTTTAATTATTTAGCATGACCGATTGTAATAGGAGTAGACCTATCAATTACATACACGATCCGTTAACCCAACACGAAATGACATAGAAAAATAAGGGTTCAAATTGAAGCTTAACAAGTCGGATTTTTATCAAGTCAACCCATTAATAACATATTGGTTTAGGTCTACTCGTTGGTGACCGTTTCAACCTATTAAGAGAAAGGTTATTTTGAAATACTCCACAAATTTGAAAATAAAAATCATTTCATAAATCCTTAACATTTAATATTGTGCAGGAATATACTGATGTGTTTTCACTAACCTCTTATTTTTGGGTATGTAATACTTGAAGTCAAGGTTCTAAAAGATGCTAGGCATTAGTCCGATGGCCGGCTAGGGCCTAGACCCTAGGTGGACTAGGCCGATTTAAGTAAATTTATTATATATCATATAAATAAGTGCATATCTACACTTAGAAAAGCTCTACTTGTATTGAAATTTGGGTTTATTATCTTAATAAGTTTATTATTTGACATATAACTTACAACAATATCAGAATTTTCGCTTTAGTATTTTAGTGAATTTAATGGTATGAGATGAAAGTTCAAGTGAGTACAAATCTGTAGTACTTTAAGGAATATTTTTCGAACCTCGTATGAATTTATAGTGAATTTTAAGAAAAATAACAGTGTTAAACACGTGGATGATAAAGTGGGACACATAAGTTAAGTTGGAGGGTGCCATACCAAATCCAAATTCACATTCAAACCATGTTAGCTAGCAAGCTGGGCGGCACAACTTGACTGAACAATAGCAAAAAAAAAGAGATGAAAGTTGAGAGGTCGCATGGGGTGGGAACTCTTATTCTTCCTTGATCTCTTCTTCGTCGTTGGAACCAATTGCAGCTCTCCATTCATCCTTTCTTAAGTTTGAAAAACTAGAAAAAAAAAAATTGATTTCAAATTAAATAATCCGACTGAAACACCAAGACCGACTAGGATGCCTAATCGCCTACCTTGGCCGCCCAACATCGCTTTGGCGCCCGCCAAATCCTTTTTTTCAGGTTTTCTCCGGATTGTGGCTTCATCCTTGTGGTTAACCACCACCAATGGCGTAGCCACACCATAGGCTACGGAGAGTTTGTACCATATGTATATATATATATATATTAGTGCATAGTCTAATATAATAGACAAAAAAAAAAAAAAACTACAAGAAGAATTATTGAGTATTTAGCACAACTAGAAATATAAAACTTATCATGGAAATTGTGATGCCATTTTGTTTAAGATTATTCTGCTTTGATTCAGCGGGCTTTATATTAGTTTCAATCAATTTTTTTAAGATTGCCTTCACATCTCCTTTCATTGTTTTGATTTGTGCTAGTTGTGTGATTGTAATTGAGACGTCAAGTTTTTTATCTTCTTATTGTGTTTGCATCTAAATATATGTAAATTTGATGATTCATTGTAATTTTTGTGGTTTGCAAATGCGAAGCTTGTTGAGTTCGTACCAAGTAAATTTTAAGTATACAAATACAGAAGTTAAACTTAAAATTTTTGTATACAATATGTATGTAGCAAAAACAAATGTATCATTTGATTTTAGGTAATTTTTTTTAGCTAGCCCACCCATAAAAAAATTTCTGACTCCTCCACTGAATTTTAGAACACTGCTTGAAAGACTTGTTTTGAAGTAATATTTATGTAACATATACATATGTAGTGCAAAATGAAATGATTGTCGTTTGTATTGTTGAATAAAAAAGAACTTGTGAATTCATATGTTAATGTTTAGTATATTCGTATAACCCAAAGTTTTTTCATTTGGTTATTTATTAAGTAATATTATGTTGTTCGTAATTCGTGCAAACGGGTAAAGTCGAGTTACTTGTCAATTTTAACGGATGGGTTTGGGTTTAAATTTATAAAGCCTTTAACCTAATAGGTTTTGACATGGCACTATTTGTTAAAATGATATTTTTGATACAAAAATAATACGAACACGACAAACAGAACTGTTTAAATCTTACCCTATACGACAAACAGAACTGTTTAAATCTTACCCTATTAACTTTGTATTTTATTTTCTTACATAATACAATGAAAATATAAAATAGTGTATGAGATTATATAAGACAAGTGCGTGCCATTATTTTCTTACAACCATCGTTGCATATAATAAATTTTTACAACCTATCTCCAACTCCATAACCACTTTTACAGCCACCTTGATATTGGACTTTGCGTACATCTTCACCGATTTTTTCAACATTTTCGGCAAAAAAGGAATGCTAGACAGACTAAATTTGTAGACAAAATTTTATAAACTCAATAATATGGAAGTTGATGATTAGATTATGACTTACGCGTTAATAAACGGGTTCATTCCTATTGATGACACATAATTTAATTTGTAAATTTAGTCTATAAATTTAGTCTTCCTAGCATTATCTGACAAAATATCTGAATGGAATTAAAAACCTTGCATTTTAGGCACGGCTACGCACATAATAAATAAACATAATCATTGTTCCAACTTCGCAACAAAAACTCTCATGTGGCATCGACAAACTACTATATATGCACATACCCAAAGCTAAAACTGTGTCAACGTGCAAAGCAGCCAGCTTTATTAGCAAAGAAGACAAAAGATATGGCTACTACTCCCGGAATTCTCACCGACTGGCCATGGACTCCTCTTGGAAGCTTTAAGGTCTCCCCTTCTACAAACCCTAGCTCCCACCCTCTCTCTCTCTCTCTCTCTCTCGTACCTACAATGCCACACACCGAAAATTTTAAAATGGACCGCCCCATAGTATGAACGAGGTGAATGAACAACTGGTATGCGAGGCCAATAATGCAATGGCTCTGAGCAATCAAGAATCTCGATGCATGCTATGCTCCAGTCCATACTAGAAAACTTTGTTACCTCCCCCGTTAAGATTTTTATTGTATATACATTATCGATATATACATAATATACTTTGATGTACTAATAACTTAAAGTTTGTGATATTGAGGTTTTCAGCATGTGGTCGTGGCTCCTTGGATCATTCATGGTGCATACTCGTATTTTGTTAACGATGAGAAAGATAAAGATCTATCTTATTTCCTCATATTTCCATTTATGCTGTGGAGGTTTCTCCACAACCAGTTATGGATCTCTCTTTCTCGATATCGGACGGCCAAGGGCAATGGCCGGATTGTTGACAAGGGTCTTGAATTCGAGCAAGTCGACAGAGAAAGAAACTGGTACCTATAAAGAACTACATCAGTCGACAGCGGATTCTTAGCTAAAAGATGCGCTGCCTGATTACAATCTCAGAAAGATGTCTTATAACCAATCCATTTAAATGTTTTTAATTATATCTTCTTCTTCTTTTAATTTTTCGTTGGGTGTAGGGATGATCAAATATTGTTCAATGCAATTCTATTATATCTGGGGAGACACTTACCTGGGGCTGTAAACCTGCCATTTTGGAGGACAGATGGAGTTATTCTAACGATTCTACTTCATGCCGGTCCAGTGGAGTTTCTCTACTACTGGCTCCACAGAGCACTTCACCACCATTTCCTATACTCTCGCTACCACTCACATCACCATTCCTCCATTGTCACTGAGCCAATCACTTGTAAGAAAATTATCCAGATAACCCCCTCCAGTTAATTAGTAGTATACTTCACTTTCTCTTGGTACGTGAAAGTGTTCACACATTTCTTGTGTGAAGCAGTTTTCTGCTCTTTTTAAGAAAATATATGGGGGAGAGAAGCCGGAGAGTCGTGTAAAAATAGAGGGATTGAGAAAAAGAGAGAAAACATGATAGTGGAGAGAGGTTTATATTTTTATTATTATTTTTTAAATTAGAAATATATTATAAAGATATGTGGGTGAGGGAAGAAATAAAGAATTTAGTTTATGTAAAATTACATTACTATCTATAATTTTATTTTGTGATATATGACCAAATTGTCTTTACATTCTCTTTTGATAGACAAAGCAGATTTCGTTAATAGGTAAGTAGCATATGCCTGCACACAAACACTTTGTGTGTGAGTATTTTTTTTTTTTTTTAAATGGGAAGGATAAAGGGAGAGAGGGAGAACATGGAAGTGAGAGTGGGAAGAAGTTTTTGTTTTTATTTTTTATTTTTTATTTTTTAATATTAGATATATGCTAAAATCATATGTAGATGAGACTTAAATAGAAAAACAATAAATTTTGATTTTGTGAAATGACATTATTGTCCACAACGTTTTTGTTAAGATAGAAAATTAAATGGTCTTTTTCACCATCTTTTAGTTGATAAAAAAAGATTTTGTTAATACATAGTTTAGATTTAGATGTATGTGAAATGATATAAACAGAAAATCAATGTGAAATGATATAACAGAAAATAATTGTTTTGATTGTATATTTTTGTTTGATGTATCGTGCAGCTGTGATTCACCCATTTGCGGAGCACATCTTATATTTCACACTCTTTGCTATACCATTGATGACAACTATACTCACCGGAACATCTTCTATCGTAAGCTTTGCTGGTTATGCAACTTATATCGACTTTATGAACAACATGGGACATTGCAATTTTGAGCTCATTCCAAAGTGGCTCTTCACTATTTTCCCTCCTCTCAAGTATCTCCTTTACACCCCATCGTAAGTCCCGCTTTGCCCTCATTTACTATTTTTATACAACTGGTTATAGGGAAAAATTATTTTATACGAGTCTTGGAAATATGCATATGTCATACACATAATTAGTAATAATAAATTTGCACAGTTTTATTGAAAATTATTCTGGTCCTAATGTTATTTATTGCTTTTGTAAGAAATATCACAAGAAAATAAAAAACCGAAATCGTTTTATAACGCGAGGAATAATTATGGTACATATATACACCGAATCTCTGATCTCATCCAAGTGCCGTACAAAATGTCTACGCAAGCAATTTAATAAGTCTCACAACAATACTGTGAATCTCTACAGATTTTTTCAAGTAACATACATTCAAAAGATACTCTACGTAATATATGTAAAGTAAATAATACATTTTTAATGTACACGAAAAGTATATTATTTTATCTACTTTTATTATGGCACATAATTTATCATTTGATTACCCGTTACTTAGAAAAATATGTAGAGATTTTTTTTGAATTTTTCATTTATTAGATAGAAAAGAAATGCAAATGAGACTCTCTATAGAATTTATCTTTTTATATTTTTAGCACAATATTTTATGAAATTAAAATAAAAATTGACGCCAAAATGTAAGATAACAAAAAATTTATGAATAATCTTAATTTTAAAACAGCCTCTTTAACATTTTTCTGCATAGAACTGTGGACATTGCCCAATAAATGGGTGGGTGGGCGGGCGGGCCATAAATGTCTTTACCTGAAAATAGATTTCTGTCACGGTGAGAGACTGTTATAGTCTTATTGCGTGTGTTTGTTTGACTGTCCACGTTTGAGCGAGTTGCCAAATTTTACTGGTTACCAAGAATCTTGGTCCAACCAAGATCATTATGTATGTATAAATTTGTGGGTTTAGTTATTTATTAGTTTATATGAATAATTTCTTGCTTATGTGTTTATATGAGAAGTGCCGACAAGAAGTAGTTTTTTTAATTTAATTTAATTTAATTTTTATTTTTTATGAATACATCAATATTTTTACATTAAGAGGAGAAGAAGTTTGGCAAAATTATATAATGAGTAGGCAAACTTGGTATCAAATTCACAATCCATGAAATTCGAACCTAAAACTTTTCACTTCCAAATAAAGAAGAATACCATCAGACCGTAGTAATGAGTGATAAGATGTAGTCTTTTAGTTACAAAGTAAAATAATACAAAATTGTCAATTCACAAACACTAATCTTAAAACAAACAGAACAGCAACCTTAGACTTAAATATAAATGAGAAAGAAACCCTACTTCTTATCCTACGAAGAGAAAGAAAAAAAAAAAAAAAAAAAAAAAACTCTAAAACATATAATGCTAAAATACCTTTACATAATCAAATGACTAAATACCCAATTAAATTTCGTCACCATTTTTTAAGTCTTTTTAGGTACTAATGATAGTTCTCTCTGTATTTAATTAAAATTTTTGACATGCATTGCAGATACCATTCTTTGCACCACACGCAATTCAGGACCAATTACTGTCTCTTCATGCCAATCTACGACTACGTATATGGCACCATGGACAAATCAAGCGATCCACTTTATGAAACTTCACTCAAGAGGGAGGAGGAATCGCCAGATGTCCTCCATCTAACCCATCTAACCACACCCGAGTCCATCTATCATCTACCGCTAGGATTTGCTGCCTTAGCCTCTAGGCCCTACACAAGGACGTGGTACTTGTGGCTGATGTGGCCTGTGACATTGTGGTCAATGATGATAACTTGGATCCACGGCCGTACATTTGTTATCGACAGGCACCGCTTTGACAAGCTCAGATTACAGACTTGGGCTATTCCCAAGTACAGTTTGCAAGTGAGGCCCCATCCTTAATTACTCTATGAAATTTGGTTGTACTTGTGTTTCTTGCTATTATTATTATCATTATTATATTTAATGAGATCTGATTTAATTTGTTATTTGTAAATTTCAGTACTTTGTGCAATGGCAAAATGAAGCTATCAATGGTTTGATTGAGGACGCCATACTTGAAGCAGAGGAAAAGGGTGTCAAGGTTTTAAGCCTCGGTCTCTTAAATCAGGTAATTAAAAAAATCTAAAACCTCAATGTTTGGTAAAACAAAAAAAAAATAAACAAATTAATTAATTAATTAAAAAAAAAACTAATGTTAATGACAATAGAAAAGCAGAAACATGGTCTACCATGTTTCTAAAAAAGTGTTTTTTTTTTTATCAAAGCATAATAATCAGTGTCCATTTAATGAAATTTTTAAATGTTAACTATATCTCCACTTATTTTACAAAATTATAATCATTTTCTCTATATTATTCTCTTTGACAATTATTATATTACATTAATTACTATATTCTTTTTAATTATTTTATATATTTACAATAGTTTATACAAAAGTTCACCAAACACACAAACACTATTTTTCTGTTAAAAGCATTTTTACAAAAAAAAAAAAAAAGTTTACGAAACACTCAACAATTTTATTTTACAGCTGTCTTTTTTCACAGCACAGCAAAAACAATTTTTTTTAAGAAGCACACCAATACTAAACTAGTCCTAAGTCTCTTGTTCAATCAGAAGTTAATTAATTTTACCAAAATCCTCACTTCCAAATAAATAATAGAATTGGGATGGATAATATATCTCAAATATTTGTCGGTGTATTTATATCTATATATAAATAATATTGGTTAATGCATGGTCTATTGAGAAGTAATTGTCTATGTAGTTGGGTACTCTAAATTTTAGTTCACTGATGGTCCAACCCATATGGTACCAAGTCGGTAACGTCATCATTTGTCTGGCGCATTTAGAGATTCTGTCACTTCACTGTTGATTTGTCGATTGTCAAAAATTGATATGCAATGTAGCTTTCTGATTCAATATGCATATTATATAAATAGAAATATAATACATGATTACTGAGAACCCATTTTGTATAAATCTCTCTCCTTGAATTAGGACCACATTTATTACTGCGCACTGTATTTATTTCCAATTTTATCTATTCAAATTTCAAACAGTTGTTTATTTATTTAATTTCCATATATGTATATGAAGGGTGAGGATTTGAATAGATACGGCGGTCTCTACATTCAAAGGCATCCACACCTAAAAATCCAGGTGGTGGATGGAAGTAGCTTGGCTGTGGCAGTAATCCTAAACAGCATTCCAAAAGAGACAACCCAAGTTTTTCTTAGAGGCAAACTCACAAAGGTTGCTTATGCCATTGCCCATGCTTTGAGCCAGAAGGGTGTCCAGGTAAACATATACATATCATGCAGTCATGTTGGCATGTCGTGTCTAATCCCTTGTAAGTAAGATTATGTTTTCTCATATCTTCTAACCTAAATTGTAAATCTCTCAGGTAGCTACATTATATCAGACTGAGTATTTGAAGCTCACCAAATCACTAGGCACTGAAAGTAATTTGGTTGTTGCAAAAAGTTATGCCCAAAAGGTATCAACTGTTGCATTTTCCGAATTCTAAATTCTCTTTATCTATTTAAATATCTTTATTTATATTTTGGATAATATTTAATGCCAATTGATTAATTTGCAGATATGGTTAGTGGGTGATGGACTGACCGAGAAAGAACAGATGCGTGCACCAAAAGGAACATTATTTGTTCCCTTCTCACAATTCCCACCCAAAAAATTGCGCAAGGACTGCTTCTATCACTACACTCCAGCAATGAAGACTCCCACATCTTTTGAGAATGTTCACGCTTGCGAGGTAAAGCTTTATTCACTTATTCATCATTTTTCCCGAAACTATAAACCCTAAATGCTAAACCTATCTTTTTATGCGACGACAGAACTGGTTGCCAAGAAGGGTGATGAGTGCATCGCGAGTAGCAGGAATAGTGCATGCCTTGGAAGGTTGGAAGGAGCATGACTGTGGTTACACCATGTCCAACATCGACAAAGTTTGGCAAGCAAGTCTTGTGCATGGGTTTCAGCCTCTGACGACCAGTACCATTCACACCAAAATTCAGTGATCTGCAGATTAATATTTAAAAAAAAAAGAAAAAGAAAAAGAAAAAAAAAAGTTACTTAGTGCACATCTATCTTATAATATTTATGCATGATTATCCCTTGTTTCAGTTGCGTTATAATGTGGTAATGCTTGCTATATTTCTATAAACAGCTAGCTAGATGTTATCATTGTATCATATTGTTGTTTATGAGTATTTCTATATTATATAAATGGATATCACTTTGGAACTATTCACGGGGAAAATTTGATCGTTATTGATCTTTTGTTAATACTTGGTGGTTTTAATATACCAAAGTATGTATATATATAATGTAGCTACCTGAGAGATTTACAATTTAGGTTAGAAGATATGAGGAAACATAATCTTACTTACAAGGGATTAGACACGACATGCCAACATGACTGCATGATATGTATATGTTTACCTGGACACCCTTCTGGCTCAAAGCATGGGCAATGGCATAAGCAACCTTTGTGAGTTTGCCTCTAAGAACAACTTGGGTTGTCTCTTTTGGAATGCTGTTTAGGATTACTGCCACAGCCAAGCTACTTCCATCCACCAGCTGGATTTTTAGGTGTGGATGCCTTTGAACGTAGAGACCGTCGTATCTATTCAAATCCTCACCCTTCATATACATATATGGAAATTAAATAAATAAACAAGTGTTTGAAATTTGAATAGATAAAATTGGAAATAAATACAGTGCGCAGTAATAAATGTGGTCCTAATTCAAGGAGAGAGATTTATACAAAATGGGTTCTCAGTAATCATGTATTATATTTCTATTTATATAATATGCATATTGAATCAGAAAGCTACATTGCATATCAATTTTTGACAATCGACAAATCAACAGTGAAGTGACAGAATCTCTAAATGCGCCAGACAAATGATGACGTTACCGACTTGGTACCATATGGGTTGGACCATCAGTGAACTAAAATTTAGAGTACCCAACTACATAGACAATTACTTCTCAATAGACCATGCATTAACCAATATTATTTATATATAGATATAAATACACTGACGAATATTTGAGATATATTATCCATCCCAATTCTATTATTTATTTGGAAGTGAGGATTTTGGTAAAATTAATTAACTTCTGATTGAACAAGAGACTTAGGACTAGTTTAGTATTTATGTGCTTCTTAAAAAAAATTGTTTTTGCTGTGCTGTGAAAAAAGACAGCTGTAAAATAAAATTGTTGAGTGTTTCGTAAACTTTTCTTTTTTCTTTTTTTTTTTTTTGTAAAAATGCTTTTAACAGAAAAATAGTGTTTGTGTGTTTGGTGAACTTTTGTATAAACTATTGTAAATATATAAAATAATTAAAAAGAATATAGTAATTAATGTAAGATAATAATTGTCAAAGAGAATAATATAGAGAAAATGATTATAATTTTGTAAAATAAGTGGAGATATAGTTAACATTTAAAAATTTCATTAAATGGACACTAATTATTACGCTTTGATAAAAAAACACTTTTTTAGAAACATGGTAGACCATGTTTCTGCTTTTCTATTGTCATTAACATTAGTTTTTTTTTAATTAATTAATTTGTTTATTTTTTTTTGTTTTACCAAACATTGAGGTTTTAGATTTTTTTAATTACCTGATTTAAGAGACCGAGGCTTAAAACCTTGACACCCTTTTCCTCTGCTTCAAGTATGGCGTCCTCAATCAAACCATTGATAGCTTCATTTTGCCATTGCACAAAGTACTGAAATTTACAAATAACAAATTAAATCAGATCTCATTAAATATAATAATGATAATAATAATAGCAAGAAACACAAGTACAACCAAATTTCATAGAGTAATTAAGGATGGGGCCTCACTTGCAAACTGTACTTGGGAATAGCCCAAGTCTGTAATCTGAGCTTGTCAAAGCGGTGCCTGTCGACAACAAATGTACGGCCGTGGATCCAAGTTATCATCATAGACCACAATGTCACTGGCCACATCAGCGACAAGTACCACTTCCTTGTGTAGGGCCTAGACGCTAAGGCAGCAAATCCTAGGGGTAGATGATAGATGGACTCGGGTGTGGTTAGATGGGTTAGATGGAGGACATCTGGCGATTCCTCCTCCCTCTTGAGTGAAGTTTCATAAAGTGGATCGCTTGATTTGTCCATGGTGCCATATACGTAGTCGTAGATTGGCATGAAGAGACAGTAATTGGTCCTGAATTGCGTGTGGTGCAAAGAATGGTATCTGCAATGCATGTCAAAATTTTTAATTAAATACAGAGAGAACTATCATTAGTACCTAAAAAGATTTAAAAATTGGTGACGAAATTTAATTGGGTATTTAGTCATTTGATTATGTAAAGGTATTTTAGTATTATATGTTTTAGAGTTTTTTTTTTTTTTTTTTTCTTTGTAGGATACGAAGTAGGGTTTCTTTTCTCATTTATACTTAAGTCTAAGGTTGCTGTTCTGTTTGTTTTAAGATTAGGTGTTTGTGAATTGACAATTTTGTATTATTTTACTTTGTTCCAAAACAATACAAAATTGTCAATAGATCTATGTAACTAAAAGACTACATCTTATCACTCATTACTACGGTCTGATGGTATTCTTCTTTATTTGGAAGTGAAATGTTTTAAGTTCGAATTTCATGGATTGTGAATTTGATACCAAGTTTGCATACTCATTATATAATTTAGCCAAACTTCTTCTCCTCTTATTGTAAAAATATTGATGTATTCATAAAAAATAAAAATAAAATAAAATAAAATAAAATAAACTACTTCTTGTCGGCACTTCTCATATAAACACATAAGCAAGAAATTATTCATATAAACTAATAAATAACTAAACCCACAAATTTATACATACATAATGATCTTGGTTGGACCAAGATTCTTGGACGAAGCATCTCCGCTGGATTACTAGCAATCTCAGGGTGGTAGCGAGATAAGTCGGTGAACTTCCGATAGTACTCGTTCGCAGACATCTTCCGCTGTTTCAACTCAGTGAATTCCTGTTTCTTGCGATCGATGTACTCTGGGGGCACAAATCTCCTCTTAAATAACCTAATGAAAACATTCCAGTCAGTCTTCTCGGCTGGAGTCAAACTACGAAGCTCCTGCTCCCACCAGGATGCAGACTCCGTACCCAGAAACCATGAGGTCGTCTCGACCCACCTCTCAACAGGAAGATTCCCCTGATTGTTCAACACTCGGAAAGTCTTCTCAATATGCTCTAACCAACGCTCCGCGCCCTCGTGCCCCTCGTGACCGTGGAACTTATCCAATTTCAGATTATACATAGTCTCCAGAGGAGTCCTCTAGGGAGGGCGGATAGCTGCCTGGATAGCGGTAGATATAGCTTCCCCCAGCTGAGTGATATCGGGGAAACTAGACTCATATGAACGACGTGGTTCCCGACGAGGCGGCATAATTCTGACAGAAGGCACCAAAACCATTAGAATACTCACAAAAGACACATGACTGCCAAACCTAAGCTCTGATACCAAACTGACACACCCCAACCGAGATCAGGGCATGCTGGCCGTCACGTGGAAGTGACGTAGCCATGTGCACAGTGCGGAAGCTAAAAACAGTAATATAAAAGTACGAATAATTTAAAACTAGCAAATATAATGTGATAAAGTATGTGCTAGCGAAAGTAAGACGCTGAATTCAGAGCTTTAAGCCTACAGCAGTCCAAAAGAAACGATACAACAATAGTGCACCCGAAGGTGACCCTACGTAGGTGAGTGTCTGTCAGAATGCCGGGACGTCCTCCGGGAAAACCACTAAACCCGCTAAGCTACTAGAACCTGGAGGGGCGTAAAACAAAAGCGTGAGTGGGCAAAAACAAATTCTTTGAAAACCAATTCATAAAATACATTCTAACCCCTCGCCGTAAAACCTGTATACTTCCCAGAAAATAAACACATATACGTAGATATGCCAAGTCATGCTCAAGGGTATGCCAATCATGCTCGCAGGTATGCCATCACAAAACCTCATAATATCATGCATGTGCTCAGGTATAAATCTCATCAATAGCATAATAAACTGGCAGCCGGAGTCCCCTAAGTGACCTGTACGGCTGAATCTAGAGCTCAAATCTCAACTAAATCACTAAACCTGCCCACGAGTCGGAACCACCTATAGTGGTCTGTACGACAGGCCTGGGTGTAATACATATGAACGCTCTAGTGCTACGATTACGTGAAGGCTGTGCGAATAATCGCGGGTCACCTACGAGTCGGAACCACCGATAGTGGTCTGTACGACAGGACTGTGCACCTAACTTGGATTCAAGCTGAGCGTGTGGTGCGGGAGGTGAACAACACGTGAAGGACTGTGCCCTACTCTGGGCGGGAGCACTAACACCGGGGGTGCAGGTTATGAGCTCTCTAAGCATCTCTAACCACTATTTAATGCAATCGTTAAATAACGCTTACCTGGCACTTACCTATGCCTCCACAGCACCAACATATATATATATGACATATGCATAATTGAATATATAATTAAACGTATATGCCACTAATCATGCATCACCATCAATTATATAAAAAGAACGGCATATAATGAAGCATTTATACTAATTTCTGGGAATTTATATGTATATAGGTATATACGGAAACAAAAGCCCACTCACTGGTATGTGGAAGGGTCGTAGCCCCCCTGCCTCGAATGTGCACGCTCGTCCTCGGGATACGTGTCACCTATATGCGAATTAACTATAAAAACGTTAACTTTAAAGCACATAACCGTCCGTTCAAAATAACTTCTCATACATTGCTCAAAATGGACAAATGAATATACCAACGTGATCTACACAACCTCACGATCACACCCATATTTTTAAAATAATTTTTGGACTTCCCACGCGCCCTCACGCGCCAAAACAGGCACGGACCCACGCGCCCCCACGCGCGGCCACGTGCCCCCACGCGCGGCCACGTGCCAGGCACACTGACGGCGTCAAGTGACGCCGTCAGGAATATTCCGTTGAACTGAAGGAATATTCCGTTAACCCTAAACTGACGACGTCAACGTCCGTTAGGAATATTCCGTTAAACTCAACGGAATATTCCCCTTTCTTCTCCGGCCAGTCCCTCTCGCCGGCGCCGTCGCCGTCGCCGGCGCCATCGCCGGAAAACCTGCAACTCGCCATAACTCGCTCGTTTTTCCACCTTTTTTCACGTTTCTTGCACCAAAATCAACCTTAGAGCTAGTAGAACACGATCCTACAAGTTTTAAGGCCTAAAACTACAAGATTATACCTGTCCAAAGCTCCAAAACTCGGCCAACTTCGAACCAAGCTTTCCCGACGTCCAAATTTGTCCAACGAAGCACTCCCAAGCTCCTGGGAACCTCACAAACACAACTACAAGCTTCAAAATCCCAAAAACAAGCTAGAATAACTTTGCATGAACAGTGTTCAAAACGGACATGGCGATATCGACGTGAAAACGTCGAAGTTCTTACCTGAAAATGGCATCACTGGACTCCTCTCAGCCTCACAAGCACGATGGTGGTCTTGGATCCCTCGATCTGTGATGTTTTAGGGTAGTTGTGTGTGTGTCCGTACACTTTCAAAAGGAAGAGGAAGGATAGAGACTCGGGAGAGAGAGAGAGGGACAGGGAAGGAGACTGAGAAAGAGATAGGGACAAGGTGTGTGTGTGTGTGGTCCAACTCAGGCCAACACCACACAAAACAACCAAAACATAACAAAAACAAACTAGGGGTAAAATGGTAATTTCACACGTACGTTTCAATAATTCCGGGACGGGATGTCACACAACGTGCCGCTCTTTTTGAAAAAAAAAATGGAGGGAAAATGAAAATGTTAAGAAAAGTTGAAAATGAAACAAAAAAGTGAGGGAATTAGGGAAAGATGTTGGAGGGAAAAGTGAAAAGTATAAGAAAAAGTTGAAAAGGAAACAAAAAAGAGAGGGAAAAATGAAAATTAATAGAAGTGATGAGAAATTTTTTTTTTTTTTAAGTTATTAACTTTTTATCACACACATGACTCTCATGACATATCTCACTATTTTTATAATTACACACGTGACACGTGATGTATATACTATTCCGTGTACCAGTCAATTATAATTTATACGTACAAAATAAATAGATTTAAATCTACTTAATAAATATATATATATATACACACACAGACACGGAACTTGATTGATGGCATACGAATTCTCCAAAACTATTTCAACAATCCAAACTGTCAAAATTGTTTGTATATGCTTGGAGATCACATCACAAAAAATCACAAAAAAAAAACATTCAGAGATCAAGTAACGGGACAAAGCTTTTCAACGGTTATAAACGAAAAATCACGATTTAACGGTTATTTTAACTCCGATTTTGATGATTTTTTATAACTACACTCCTTGACCCTATATGAATACAATGAATGAATTCAATCTTCAATTTAAAATATTTACACAAGTGGATAACACAAAATCTTATGTTATACTTAATGAAAGTATAAATAAACTCTAAGTGTTAGTCAATCTATCGTTTTACGAATTCTCCAAAACTAATTTCAACGATCCAAACCGTCAAAATTGTTTGTATATGCTTGGAGATCACATCAGCAAAAAATCACAAAAAAAAAAAACATTCAGAGATCAAGTAACGGGACAAAGCTTTTCAACGGTTATAAACGAAAAATCACGATTTAACGGTTATTTTAACTCCGATTTTGATGATTTTTTATAACTACACTCCTTGACCCTATATGAATACAATGAATGAATTCGATCTTCAATTTAAAATATTTACACAAGTGGATACCGCAAAATCTTATGTTATACTTAATAAAAGTATAAATAAACTCTAAGTATTAGTCAATCTATCGTTTTACGAATTCTCCAAAACTAATTTCAACGATCCAAACCGTCAAAATTGTTTGTATATGCTTGGAGATCACATCAGCAAAAAATCACAAAAAAAAAAACATTCAGAGATCAAGTAACGGGACAAAGCTTTTCAACGGTTATAAACGAAAAATCACGATTTAACGGTTATTTTAACTCCGATTTTGATGATTTTTTATAACTACACTCCTTGACCCTATATGAATACAATGAATGAATTCGATCTTCAATTTAAAATATTTACACAAGTGGATACCGCAAAATCTTATGTTATACTTAATAAAAGTATAAATAAACTCTAAGTGTTAGTCAATCTATCGTTTTACGAATTCTCCAAAACTAATTTCAACGATCCAAACCGTCAAAATTGTTTGTATATGCTTGGAGATCACATCAGCAAAAAATCACAAAAAAAAAACATTCAGAGATCAAGTAACGGGACAAAGCTTTTCAACGGTTATAAACGAAAAATCACGATTTAACGGTTATTATAACTCCGATTTTGATGATTTTTTATAACTACACTCCTTGACCCTATATGAATACAATGAATGAATTCGATCTTCAATTTAAAATATTTACACAAGTGGATACCACAAAATCTTATGTTATACTTAATGAAAGTATAAATAAACTCTAAGTATTAGTCAATCTATCGTTTTACGAATTCTCCAAAACTAATTTCAACGATCCAAACCGTCAAAATTGTTTGTATATGCTTGGAGATCACATCAGCAAAAAATCACAAAAAAAAAACATTCAGAGATCAAGTAACGGGACAAAGCTTTTCAATGGTTATAAACGAAAAATCACGATTTAACAGTTATTTTAACTCCGATTTTGATGATTTTTTATAACTACACTCCTTGACCCTATATGAATACAATGAATGAATTCGATCTTCAATTTAAAATATTTACACAAGTGGATACCGCAAAATCTTATGTTATACTTAATAAAAGTATAAATAAACTCTAAGTGTTAGTCAATCTATCGTTTTACGAATTCTCCAAAACTAATTTCAACGATCCAAACCGTCAAAATTGTTTGTATATGCTTGGAGATCACATCAGCAAAAAATCACAAAAAAAAAACCATTCAGAGATCAAGTAACGGGACAAAGCTTTTCGACGGTTATAAACGAAAAATCAAGATTTAACGGTTATTTAACTCTGATTTTGATGAATTTTTACAGCTACACTCCTTAACCCTATATGAATACAAAGAATGAATTTGATCTTCAATTTAAAATATTTACACTAGTGGATGTGGATATCACAAAATCTTATGTTATAATTTATATACTTAATAAAAGTATGAATCAACTATAATATTAATAATTATATACATTAATTTAATAATTTTATATCCCTAAAAAGTAAAAACTATAATAATTATATAGATGTAGGTATAAATTGAATACAATTTCATGATGATCGATGTAAATTGAAGATTTTGTAAATGGAGGTGTAAACTTTTGAGAAAGACTTACAATCTTAAAAACAAAAACTCTTTATCCTTGCACATTTAATATTTGTAATATATTAGTAGTGTATGTATTATTTTTTTTATTAGGCTTTTATTTTCGAGTGTAGATATAGTACTTGAACGAGAAATGTTTTAATGTTTTGAAGTAATATTTATGTGGCAATGTGTGGTATGTGCAAATTTTAAAAAAATATATTTTTTTCTTAACAGGTCATAACGGGTCATAACGGGTCGGGTCACTTTACCCGTTGGGTAAAGTGACACGACCTGTTAAGGACCCGTTAAGATAACGGGTGTGACACGACACGACCCGTTAAGATAACAGGTGTTACACGAAAACGACACGAACACGATAGACACGACCCGTTTGCCAGACCTACTTGAGAGGAGGGACAATAGTGAAGAGCCACTTTGGAATGAGCTCAAAATTGCAATGTCCCATGTTGTTCATAAAGTCGATATAAGTTGCATAACCAGCAAAGCTTACGATAGAAGATGTTCCGGTGAGTATAGTTGTCATCAATGGTATAGCAAAGAGTGTGAAATATAAGATGTGCTCCGCAAATGGGTGAATCACAGCTGCACGATACATCAAACAAAAATATACAATCAAAACAATTATTTTCTGTTATATCATTTCACATTGATTTTCTGTTTATATCATTTCACATACATCTAAATCTAAACTATGTATTAACAAAATCTTTTTTTATCAACTAAAAGATGGTGAAAAAGACCATTTAATTTTCTATCTTAACAAAAACGTTGTGGACAATAATGTCATTTCACAAAATCAAAATTTATTGTTTTTCTATTTAAGTCTCATCTACATATGATTTTAGCATATATCTAATATTAAAAAATAAAAAATAAAAAATAAAAAACAAAAACTTCTTCCCACTCTCACTTCCACGTTCTCCCTCTCTCCCTTTATCCTTCCCATTTTAAAAAAAAAAAAAAAAATACTCACACACAAAGTGTTTGTGTGCAGGCATATGCTACTTACCTATTAACGAAATCTGCTTTGTCTATCAAAAGAGAATGTAAAGACAATTTGGTCATATATCACAAAATAAAATTATAGATAGTAATGTAATTTTACATAAACTAAATTCTTTATTTCTTCCCTCACCCACATATCTTTATAATATATTTCTAATTTAAAAAATAATAATAAAAATATAAACCTGTCTCCACTATCATGTTTTCTCTCTTTTTCTCAATCCCTCTATTTTTACACGACTCTCCGGCTTCTCTCCCCCATATATTTTCTTAAAAAGAGCAGAAAACTGCTTCACACAAGAAATGTGTGAACACTTTCACGTACCAAGAGAAAGTGAAGTATACTACTAATTAACTGGAGGGGGTTATCTGGATAATTTTCTTACAAGTGATTGGCTCAGCGACAATGGAGGAATGGTGATGTGAGTGGTAGCGAGAGTATAGGAAATGGTGGTGAAGTGCTCTGTGGACAATCACGCGGGGCCAACGGGGACCCACCCAATAACGTGGCAGTACGGGCCCGCCTCCTGGCTCTGATACCATGTAGAAATTTTCAGGTTGACGGGCCGAGGGCCCACTCCAACAACACCGATACTGTCCCCACTTAACCACCTGCACAATCCTCAGGTGTGGGGTTTTATCACAAAAAGCCTCGATGTTAGTTAGAGAGGGTTATTTCTATTTAAAGCACTCTTCTCTTCTCCCTCTGTCCGATGTGGGACTGGGGGTTCCAACATAGAGAAACTCCACTGGACCGGCATGAAGTAGAATCGTTAGAATAACTCCATCTGTCCTCCAAAATGGCAGGTTTACAGCCCCAGGTAAGTGTCTCCCCAGATAGAATAGAATTGCATTGAACAATATTTGATCATCCCTACACCCAACGAAAAATTAAAAGAAGAAGAAGATATAATTAAAAACATTTAAATGGATTGGTTATAAGACATCTTTCTGAGATTGTAATCAGGCAGCGCATCTTTTAGCTAAGAATCCGCTGTCGACTGATGTAGTTCTTTATAGGTACCAGTTTCTTTCTCTGTCGACTTGCTCGAATTCAAGACCCTTGTCAACAATCCGGCCATTGCCCTTGGCCGTCCGATATCGAGAAAGAGAGATCCATAACTGGTTGTGGAGAAACCTCCACAGCATAAATGGAAATATGAGGAAATAAGATAGATCTTTATCTTTCTCATCGTTAACGAAATACGAGTATGCACCATGAATGATCCAAGGAGCCACGACCACATGCTGAAAACCCCAATATCACAAACTTTAAGTTATTAGTACATCAAAGTATATCATGTATCGATAATGTATATACAATAAAAATCTTAACGGGGGAGGTAACAAAGTTTTCTAGTATGGACTGGAGCATAGCATGCATCGAGATTCTTGATTGCTCAGAACCATTGCATTATTGGCCTCGCATACCAGTTGTTCATTTACCTCGTTCATACTATGGGGCGGTCCATTTTAAAATTTTCGGTGTGTGGCATTGTAGGTACGAGAGAGAGAGAGAGAGAGAGAGAGGGTGGGAGCTAGGGTTTGTAGAAGAGGAGACCTTAAAGCTTCCAAGAGGAGTCCATGGCCAGTCGGTGAGAATTCCGGGAGTAGTAGCCATATCTTTTGTCTTCTTTGCTAATAAAGCTGGCTGCTTTGCACGTTGACACAGTTTTAGCTTTGGGTATGTGCATATATAGTAGTTTGTCGATGCCACATGAGAGTTTTTGTTGCGAAGTTGGAACAATGATTATGTTCATTTATTATGTGCGTAGCCGTGCCTAAAATGCAAGGTTTTTAATTCCATTCAGATATTTTGTCAGATAATGCTAGGAAGACTAAATTTATAGACTAAATTTACAAATTAAATTATGTGTCATCAATAGGAATGAACCCGTTTATTAACGCGTAAGTCATAATCTAATCATCAACTTCCATATTATTGAGTTTATAAAATTTTATCTACAAATTTAGTCTGTCTAGCATTCCTTTTTTGCCGAAAATGTTGAAAAAATCGGTGAAGATGTACGCAAAGTCCAATATCAAGGTGGCTGTAAAAGTGGTTATGGAGTTGGAGATAGGTTGTAAAAATTTATTATATGCAACGATGGTTGTAAGAAAATAATGGCACGCACTTGTCTTATATAATCTCATACATTATTTTATATTTTCATTGTATTATGTAAGAAAATAAAATACAAAGTTAATAGGGTAAGATTTCTATCTGGTAAACAGTTCTGTTTGTCGTGTTCGTATTATTTTTGTATCAAAATTATCATTTTAACAAATAGTGCCATGTCAAAACCTATTAGGTTAAAGGCTTTATAAATTTAAACCCAAACCCATCCGTTAAAATTGACAAGTAACTCGACTTTACCCGTTTGCACGAATTACGAACAACATAATATTACTTAATAAATAACCAAATGAAAAAACTTTGGGTTATACGAATATACTAAACATTAACATATGAATTCGCAAGTTCTTTTTTATTCAACAATACAAACGACAATCATTTCATTTTGCACTACATATGTATATGTTACATAAATATTACTTCAAAACAAGTCTTTCAAGCAGTGTTCTAAAATTCAGTGGAGGAGTCAGAAATTTTTTTATGGGTGGGCTAGCTAAAAAAAATTACCTAAAATCAAATGATACATTTGTTTTTGCTACATACATATTGTATACAAAAATTTTAAGTTTAACTTCTGTATTTGTATACTTAAAATTTACTTGGTATGAACTCAACAAGCTTCGCATTTGCAAACCACAAAAATTACAATGAATCATCAAATTTACATATATTTAGATGCAAACACAATAAGAAGATAAAAAACTTGACGTCTCAATTACAATCACACAACTAGCACAAATCAAAACAATGAAAGGAGATGTAAAGGCAATCTTAAAAAAATTGATTGAAACTAATATAAAGCCCGCTGAATCAAAGCAGAATAATCTTAAACAAAATGGCATCACAATTTCCATGATAAGTTTTATATTTCTAGTTGTGCTAAATACTCAATAATTCTTCTTACAGTTTTTTTTTTTTTTTTTTGTCTATTATATTAGACTATGCACTAATATATATATATATACATATGGTACAAACTCTCCGTAGCCTATGGTGTGGCTACGCCAATGGCGGTGGTTAACCACAAGGATGAAGCCACAATCCGGAGAAAACCTGAAAAAAAGGATTTGGCGGGCGCCGAAGCGATGTTGGGCGGCCAAGGTAGGCGATTAGGCATCCTAGTCGGTCTTGGTGTTTCAGTCGGATTATTTTATAATTTGAAATCAATTTTTTTTTTCTAGTTTTTCAAACTTAAGAAAGGATGAATGGAGAGCTGCAATTGGTTCCAACGACAAAGAAGAGATCAAGGAAGAATAAGAGTTCCCACCCCATGCGACCTCTTAACTTTCATCTCTTTTTTTTTGCTATTGTTCAATCAAGTTGTGCCGCCCAACTTGCTAGCTAACATGGGTTGAATGTGAATTTGGATTTGGTATGGCACCCTCCAGCTTAACTTATGTGTCCCACTTTATCATCCACGTGTTTAACACTGTTATTTTTCTTAAAATTCACTATAAATTCATACGAGGTTCGAAAAATATTCCTTAAAGTACTACAGATTTGTACTCACTTGAACTTTCATCTCATACCATTAAATTCACTAAAATACTAAAGCGAAAATTCTGATATTGTTGTAAGTTATATGTCAAATAATAAACTTATTAAGATAATAAACCCAAATTTCTATACAAGTAGAGCTTTTCTAAGTGTAGATATGCACTTATTTATATGATATATAATAAATTTACTTAAATCGGCCTAGTCCACCTAGGGTCTAGGCCCTAGCCGGCCATCGGACTAATGCCTAGCATCTTTTAGAACCTTGACTTCAAGTATTACATACCCAAAAATAAGAGGTTAGTGAAAACACATCAGTATATTCCTGCACAATATTAAATGTTAAGGATTTATGAAATGATTTTTATTTTCAAATTTGTGGAGTATTTCAAAATAACCTTTCTCTTAATAGGTTGAAACGGTCACCAACGAGTAGACCTAAACCAATATGTTATTAATGGGTTGACTTGATAAAAATCCGACTTGTTAAGCTTCAATCTGAACCCTTATTTTTCTATGTCATTTCGTGTTGGGTTAACGGATCGTGTATGTAATTGATAGGTCTACTCCTATTACAATCGGTCATGCTAAATAATTAAAAAAGAATAATATTTCTCTCGTTCCTAGTAAAGAGGAAAGTTCTTGTTCCCCTCAAACAAGCATTATATTATCAGGAGCTAACATGGGCCATTTCCGTTTATCGGCATTTAAAACCATCTTTAATACAAATTATTCGATTTGAAAATATTGATTAGCCTATATACGTAGGGGTCAGGGTTTATTTTTTGGTTCTCTTAAAATTCTCACTCTTCTAAAAATTTAAAAATGATAACTATATATATGAAATTGAAGTTTGAGCTCATGATCTCCAAATCTCAAGTTTTTTTACACATGAAATTTCTAAATTCTTTTAGAGTTGGTTGATATATTAATTTAAAGATTATTATTTTTATCCAAATACCAAGTTTGTTTTGAACAATTAATGATAACATAAAGTTTGTCTTGACATATTACAAGATGTTTATGTTGTTATCCTATCAACTTTGATTTAATAAATAACGAGTTTGATATTAAATTATTATTATAATTTTTGTGTAGCTTAACTCAATGAGAACAGATCCTCTCTAGATCTTTTCAACCAAGGTCACCGGATCAAGTGATCCGAGCCTTTGAAATTTCATCCAATGGCCCACTTGTTTTGACCCCTTAAAAACTATAATAATTTTTGACCATTAGATGAAATTTCAAATGTCCGGATCACTTGATCCAGTGACCACAGTGGAAGAGATCCGAAGAGGATCTCTTCTCTAGCTCAATGGTATAAAAAATATTGTTGTATGAAAGATATTTGGTTTTTCCACTTAAAATGCATAATGTGTATGTACTGTTTTCTAAAACCTAGTATACATACATGTTGAGGACAATGACCTTGGAGGACCATTTAAGCCCTCCCCTCTATTTACTTCTCCCACCTACTTTTTTGTTAGTCCACTTTGATTTGGTTTATTTGAGTCTGCCGTTGAGATACATCTCCCACCTGCTTTTCTGGACTTAATTAATGATATATTTTTACTAATTAGGTATAAATCAATGATAAATGCTACATGGGCATTAAGGCATTATTAAGAGTTAGAATTTTACCCTTCTTTCATTCTCTCTCATGTTTTTTAAAAAGGCTTTTCAGCCAAAATGGTACCTGAGATTTGCATAACACATCACTTTGGTCTCTGAGATTTGGAATCAATAGAAGTGGTCCCTAAAATTGTGATTACATGCTGCAGACCTTTCTCCTCCACCCTATGACCAACTGCCAACTAGATCTGTCAAATTTTTCATCAAGCCGTCCACGTGCGCTCTGTCTTCTCCCACCAGGACACCACGTTGATTTCTCTCAGCCTTCTTTCATTCCCAATACAGCAACTTGTTCTTGGTGAGACTCATCAACGACGCCACACCACCGCAACCACCTGCAGGAGAAAAAAGAACAAAAAATCAGACCAAAAAATCTCTGATTTCAACACATGCGCCTCGTTGCCGCCATCTTTCACCGCCAAGGCCTTCTCGTTGAGCCCAAAACAGGTAAAACCGTGATAAGGGTCTACGGGGGATGAGTTTTTTGGTTTTTGATGTCTTCTTCTTTTGAGTTTGAAATCTTTTTGTGTTTTGATTAATTTGATGGGTTCTTTCTTCTTTTGGGTTTTGACGGTTTTTATTTTATTTTTTTAAGAACTAATTTTATGGGTCAAGAGAGACTCCACGAAATGTGGAAACGATGATGGGAATAAGAGAACCAGGAAATGGACATTGCAATGCAGCGTCTGAATAAACATGTAAAATAGAACCAGGAAATGGACACTACATCGCAATGTCTAAATCAAAATATAAAAAAGAAAAAAAAAAGAACTAGGAAACCGACACTGCATTGTAGTTTATGAATCACAATGTAAAAAAAAAAAAAGAAAAAAAAAGAATTGGGAAACAGACACTGCTTTGCAGTGTCTAAATCCAAATGCAAAAAGAAATAGTCACGCGAAGAATGGACACTGCAATGCACTGTCTGAATCAAGTGATGAAAAAAAAGGAACCAGGAAATGGATGCATGTGAGAGATGAAAAAAAGGAACCAGAAAATGGACATTGCAATGCATCGTCTGAATCCAAGTGTAAAATATATGAGAAAGGGGGGTGTCAATTGAAGTAGGTGTCAGCTGTAATGGCAGATTATGTAATTTTTTGTTTATTTCAAATGTATTTAAGTGTCACAATACATGATTGACCTATTTATAAATAACACAAATATTATTGATCTATTATTAATATGGTAACTTTGTATTGATTTTATACAAAATCACCCTAATATAATTACCAGATTGTTAAAACCTATAAATATTATAGAGCACTAAAAACAAAAGTATTAAAAGAAAAAAAAGTGATACTTCACATTATAGCTTGGTGGTCGAACTACTATTTATATTAGTTGAGTATATGACCTTTTAGGATAGTAGAATGCTTATTAAACCAAGAAAATACATGAGGACATCTAGGAAGTAGATATTGCATCCTCTTAGGAATGTGATTATTTGTGGCGCACTCCAAT